TAATATAAAAATTACAAATATATATCAGAAAAGAGTAATTAATATATTTTTTATTCATTGAATGTAGTCCATTGTCTTAGAATAATTACAAATTGGAGCTAATTGTAGTGATTTACTTTGTTATATTATTACTATTTATTTCATTATTACAGAGAAATTTTGTTACCTTCTTGTTCAAAGGCATTGTATTTAGGGATAATTTGGAAGTAATCAAGAAAGGTAAACTACTTCTGTTCTGTGAGAAAAGGAACTCATTTTATATCTCAAATTTTAAATAAAATATTAGACAAAGGTGTCAAAAAAGACAAAAAATAAAAAAAAATGTGTCTTTTTTTATTGTGAAATACGGCTTCCACTTGTTCTTTATTAACCATCTGTTTTACCTTGATTTAAATTTCAGTAATTAATCATTTCATAAGAATCTATTTAATTAATTCATTAAATCATAAATAGATGAGAAGCCATGCATGAACAATGAATAATTTGACATTTTTTCTGTATTTTTGAAATTATTATTTCCCTCTTCTTTCTGGTAGAACAGGCTTTTTGTTTGAAATTCTGAAATTATTCATTTATCTCTTTTTAGTTAGATTAGTTTCTTTCACCACTAAATAAGTTTTTTATACTCTTAGAAATATTTTGATTAAGTAGTTTCAGAAAAAAGAAAGATGGATGAAAAGATTTTTGCTCATACTTCTCAAATGTTATCAACTACATTTGTACGTCAGAAAAATTTAAAAAATGGAATAAAAAAAAAATTAAGTCCTAAGTAGCTTATTTGAATGCATAAAATCTTTATTCATATACAGGTGTTGCTGAATTCTACCGACAAATTCAGAGGGTTGTTAGAAGGCAACATGAAGATGACAGATATCCATAGAACGTGGGGTCGCAACCAACGTTTAGTAGGAGTAAAACGCAAAAACAGTTATGAAGAATGTGATGTAGAGTGGAATGAAAAGGTGCAATAAGAGGCAAGAATGCATTAATTAGACGTAAAGCATGTTTAAGTTAAAGTACGAATAATGTATCAGGCGTCAGAAATGCAATGCCAAGTGAATGTGTCATAGGAATTGTTCGAAGTTGCGAACGAGTAAGTCATAGCACATTTGACACTGTGTGACATCTCTCGCGTTCTTCCTCTAATATAACCTCTATGTTCTTTGACGGCCACGATTAATGGCAAAACTTTTCCAACCCAAATCCAAGAAGTGAAACGAAGCATAGATGCAAATAAGATAACCTTTAAAAGGATAGGAATTTTAGTGAGTAAGATGGCAATTTAGAGAAAATTCTGTTTAGAGAAAAGGTAGAAGTGTAATTTGACGGCCTACCAAAGAATCACGGATATCTAGCCATTACTACAAGGTGCATACTATTGCACGCGAGCCCAACAGCCTATCTGAAAGTGATTGAACCGTTGAGTATTCAACCAAGGTAGGAAGATTATATTCTGAACGCTAGTATATTATTGAGACGAGATTAGGCACAGATATAATATATTTATATTGATAAGTGATCTAATTGCGCGATCTGAGTTAGTTAAGACTGCGGGTTTTGGTTTATTCTCACTTAATATAAATTTGTTCGATATCTAAGTAGTTTAAGTTAAATTCTTAATAAAAGTCATATTAAGAATTATAGAATGTCTCATATCATTCCAAGAGAATCCCACACCTCTAACTTACGCTGACACCCCACGACATGGCTATCGAACGATGGCCATGTCGCAACTGACGGACGAATGATTGCCGGACGCGTTCAAACAATCCGGTGTGCTGGTGATGTAACCTGAAACGATGGCAATCCGTGCCATTAGAACTTCTATTGTAGCCACCGGTCACTTGTGTAGCCATACAGAAGCGATTTCAGGTGACCCCAAAAGAAAAAATCCAAGGGATTCAGATTCGGGGATCATAGAGGCCAAGCAACAGCCAATCCACAGCCAGGGATATGTAGCATGGAGGTGGTTACGCACTACAATCGAAAAATATGCTGGTGCACCGTCGCGCATGAAACACACATTCTAGTGCACAGTGATCTGTATACCCTTCAACAACTCCGGGAAAAGCGGAAAATTTGCATACGTGCAAGCTTCTTCAACCCTACCACAGCGCTCCAAATCCCCACATTCGTTTGGCCACTTCTCTCGTCTTGCTGATTGCTAAGGTCCTCCTTTAAGGTATCCGACTACGTTCGGAACCATGATTTTAAAAATCGCATGAATGGATAATTTTCATGATATTTAGTGTTACTCAGATTAGAATACATGCATAAAATTGTTTTAAAAAGGACATTTCGACGGGAAAAAATTATCTAAATACAATATTTTGGCAAAAAATTAACTTAGAATAAGCTTTTTTCAAAATGTTCTCCTTTTGTGAAAAATGCTTCTATTATAATAATATTTTGCCTGTATATAGCTCAGACCTGTATACAGTGACTAGTGAGAAATCAAAATTGAATGTTAATATGTTAGCTACAATGCTTACCGCAAAATTCAGTATGAAGGATATTTTTTGCCCGTAACTTTCCGATACATTAAAAAATGTGATATGTTGACAGAAAAAAAGTCCATTCAATGGAAAAATACTCGTTTAAGATAATAATTAAAAAGAATGTGAAGGAGGGAAGGTTCGTTCTGGGTACCTTCCGTTCCGAACGCAAGTACGTAACCAATCACGCCAAAACAATCGTCATCGCGTGATGTTGGTACTAGTTCATATAGATATCACACCGCCACAAATGTAAGCGTAATTAACGTATTTTTGCTTGAATTAATAAAACGTTTCATATATTTAAAGTTGTAATTTTTTCCTTAAATTTTTCGTCCTCCTTTTCATTGTAAAAAAAATGGTCACCTTATATCGATACCTCACGACTATTATTATCGCGCTTTTCACCAACTAAACGGAGTTTGTAACTCCATATTCTATGATGATTTGTCATCCCCGTGCTGCCTATCATTCCTTTGAATGTGTCGGTTGAATTCGGCAACACTGTATACAGCAGAGGTGGGCAGACTTTTCCAGGGTATGTGCGCCGCTTCTAATTTTTTTAAGGCGTTGCGGTCCACTCAAGGGGCGTAGGTGTGGTGAGGTAGAAAAAGGTCTTCAATATTTATTATATTTTAATAATAAATAAGGAATATGTACTCTCATCTACATAACTACAAAAAAAAAAAAAGAAGTCGTCGCCCAGCTAGTATAGTGGCTATGACGCTCGGCTTGTAACCGAGTGTGTTCAGGTTCGAATCCCGAGTAAGACATGGTTGTATCTTCTTTGGGATAGAAGTCGGTCTTTCGCCTGTAATAGATTACCGTTTCGAAAGGAAAAGCAGTGCACCCCTTCTTGTTATATGCTGGGATCATCATCTGTAATAAATGAATATATTCTTTTGTTGTATTGTATGCTTTCTGTTCTTCTTCACGTGGCCGCCGTAGCCGAGTGGTATAGGTATCGGATCGTGGCTTGTCTTGTCACGAGTTCGAGCCCAGTACCACTAAAGACCCGCCGTGTAGGGTAGCGATGCAGGTTAAATCTGTCGAGAGCTGAAACGTCCTCCCATTGGTGCGTCGTGTAGTTAGGAGAGGGGGTGCCAGTTCAGGTGTCGTCCACGTCACTTGACCATGGTTGTGAAAATTACGTGGTCCGTCGCCAAAAGCCCACGTGTAGCTGAACAGTGCAACGTTAATATTCAGTCAATCAATCTGTTCTTCACTTGTATTTCATATGCTCCCAGGATAAAAAGCACATGTCAACAACAAAAAATCACGCTTTTCACTGGCATTGCTAGTTCTGTGAGTAGACCCTGTATCAAAGTTCCTCGGGGACCCTTCCTAAGAACTTCTTAATATTTTGCGATTTTTTTTGCTCTAACACGTTTTGGGGCACCATATCATTGATACGGCGGTAGCTACACCCCTGACGCTTTTAAGACCACGTTAAAAGGAAAACGCATGCTACAAAAACATAATAATAATAGTCACAAATATAATAATATTAAATGATGTATTTATTACCAAACACAATTAAAAACATACGTTAGAAACGTTTTCTTCTCGTAATTAAAGTCAGTAGAAGACTTAGTCTCCATACTATCAGCTAATCTTGAATATATATTTTCGCATAAATACTAAGTGCTAATCTTCAAGCGGTCACCCCAAAATACCTTGTTGGTCCACTGGTCGATCGCGATCGACTTAATCCTCACCCCCGGGTATATTGCATTAACAGAGAGGGATTTTTTACACTTACTCTCTGAATTAGCTGCTTGAAGTCAGTATGTTGAAGCATTAAAGTTTTATACAAACTACAAAAAAAAGAGTCGTATTTAAGTTATAGTGGAAATTCATAACTATACAAAGGCTTTCATTTACATTTCTTTTGAAAATGATAAAAAAAAACTAATTTTTGACTGATTCAGGAACGTACATGGGACTTAACATCACACCCTCCCTCTTATACGCTATCCATTGCGCTTTTCGTTTCGGTATTTCTGTCCTATCTGTTGAGCTAACATTAAATATAACCACCTTCTACTTGGGAAAGCGAAACCAACTGTTTCGCTTCAGCTAAGAGCTAATTGCCCCCGAGCCATGAAAATTCAAATACTTATATAGTTTACTTTAAATTTTAAAGATAATTTCAAACAAGCATGGAAAAATTGAAATTTTTTTTAATAATTCTGACGAGAAGATAAGGGCTTTTATTACACCAGAAATTTTTCTGAGATTTTGAGACGATGGAGCATTTTATCTGTTCTAAATGATTTTGCTCAAATGATGTTCATAATGTGATGCGGGATTTATATATATTGCTCGTACTTTTTTTTTGAAGTTATTCTTCTTTTGGGGCGTTAGAGAAATAGGATGAGGGTAAATTTTTACAATGCGCGCGCACACCGTCACGGATGCGAAAATCCTTTGTCTAGAAATATATAGAACGGGACAAATCAGTACCGCCTTCAAAATTCTCAGAAAAATATTTCCCTGAAGAAGGGGACACCCGGATTCGAACCGGAGACCTCTCGATTTAGTGCCGAATGCTCTACCACTGAGCTATACATCCTCGTCAGCGAACCTTTGTTTTGTGTTCCGTAGGAACGTATACGAAAATGCTTTGTCTAGAAATAATATGCAGGACGGGACAGATCATTCCTCCTTCGACCCCTTCCCCATATTATTGGTCCTATTATCCCTGTACGGGGTGTTTAAATTTATTTAAATCGTGATTATCTCAGGTTTGGGGCTGGTCCGATTGACTGAAGGTGAGTATCGTTCAACTCTGCTTTCGTCCTTGGCCCAGCTTGCCCCCCCTGCTAAAGATTTTTAGAAAGATTTTATAATTTTATTACGCCAAAGAAGTATAACTTCTTACGTGCGTTCATAAGTACACACACACTTTTTTTTTTGTATCTTTATTTTTACTTTAACCTAAAATTGCCTGAATGGGATTATGTGTGTAAATATATACCAACATAGCTCTTGTTCATATTTAAAAAATTAAGATGTAATCCGAGAATATTCTTTATTTTTAGGCCAGCGTTTCAAAGAAAAAAAAATGTGTGTTTGCTTATAACCACACGATAGAAGTCAAAACTTCTGATTTATTCTGAGCCATAGAATCCAATTGTTCGGATGTACTACATTTTTTTCAATGACATTTTCGCATTCGTTCGTTAAATAGTTCTTTTTCGTGCTCATTCATTGGTGGATTTGTTTATATCATCCATTTTCTGTGAAGGGCAATGTTTAAATAATTATGCATTCTAATATATTTATATACGAGTATACACGATTTGTATATAAATTTCAATCAGTCTAATTATTTAAAAATATTTTATACATAAATTACTTACGTAGATTATATTTCTATAATATATATGTTTATATGGTACGTACTGTCACAACAATGTGAACGTTCAAGATAACTCGCCAAGTTGTCAGTTCGGATTTACCATATGTCGTACGTGCTGAATTGGCAACCATGTGCTACTTTTCATATTATGTCGCCAATATCGCTGCGATTATACGTAATTACCATTTATAACTTACATAACGCCATATACTATGTAAGGCTAGGAAAAGTTATGCTCTGAGAACCGTTTACTTTTCTTTAAAATCTCTAAGTCCGGGATGGGCATTACACCAATCGCGATCGACCGGTGGACCGCGAAGATATTTTGGGGTTAACCAATTGAAGATTTTAGTAGTTAATAATTATATACGGAAATATTCAAGATTGGCTGAAGAATGCAGACTAAGTCTTCTACTGACTATAACAAAGAAAACTAACTTCAGATGAAAACGTTTTATTTTTTACGAATTTTGAATTGTTTGATAATAAATGCATCATTTGATATTATAGTATTTGTAGCTATTATTATTATTATGTATTTTGCGTTTTTCTTAAAACGCGGTATTTTTAAAAGTGTTATTTTTTTTTTAGTTCTGTAAGTAAGTACATATTCCGAATTTATTATTAATTTATCATAAATTCTGTAGACCTTTTCCAACCTCACCACACCTACGGTACTGGGCATTGGCGCACACAAGAATTCTTCAAGGGGGGGAGGCGGGGTTGAGGGTCGAAAGTCTACCTTTCTTGTATCATACCCCAATATGCAGTCTAACATATTTTTTAATTTTGTAGATTGTCGGGAACAAAAAACAGTAAAAAATAAGTTATTAAATAAATAACCTCCACTAAATAATAAAAAAATATTAATAACAAAAAATTAAACTTTACGTGCTATATACATTGGATTATAATCAATCGGGGAAAAAAATCAAGGGCTATGGAGGAGGGTCTGGACTAGTAGAACCCCCCCCCCTCCTTGTGTACTCCACTGACATTGGGTGGACCGCAACAGCTTGCAAAAATTAGAAGTAGCACGCACCCTGAAAAAGTCTGCCCACCCCTGTTCTAAGTAAACAAAAGGAGACGGTTCACAATTAACGCTTTTATTTTCTCGTGATCTCTTAGTTGTCATTACTATATATATTGGCAACTTTCTCACCAGTTAACTTTATTAAGATTTCGGATTTTAATTCTTTAGCCAAATTTTTATGCGTAAATGCCCTTTCTGCTGAATGAAAAAATAGATCGCAAGTTTCGCGTTTCTTCTTATCTACGATCTGCTACATAAGAATAACCTTTTTTGTTTAAATTATTTTCGCTTGCACTCCTCTTCTCTCGTTTATTCGCTGGAGTTGAATGGAAATGGGCTGCATGACAGTAATAATTAAATAAAGGAAATAAAATTTCACGAGAAAAAATGTTCATTAAATTTTTATAAAAAAAAAACACGTGCCTAGAAAAGTTTTCAATTCAAAACGAAGCGAGCCTCTCTAACCCGAGCACCATTGCCGACTGGAACCAAGTAAACCCGATTGAGCGTAACGCAACCGAATTTAGATTCATTCTTCAGAAAAACGCCCCTAAAGAAGTTTTCACTTCAAAAAGATTTATTTATGTGAACTCTGATGAGCGCGAAAATTAAGAATGGTCTTGAAAAATTAGCACATTAGTAAAATAAGCATGTTGGTCGGATTGAAAAACTGATCTTTAAGTCGACTAAGGCATGTACAACAGCACATGGCATCATGACGTAGTGAGTCACTGGCGTAGCCTAGCCGTGAATGGGCCCCGTATCAAGAATTCTTTGGGGCCCTTTTTGGAAAATAAATAAAAACGATTGTATTGATAAAACTTATATGAAAGTGTCAAAATTAATATACATAGACATAATGTATTAAAAACTTTTATTACTTAAAAATTAACTTAGTTGTTTAAATAGGTGCTTTTCTCGATTTTTTTTTTCGGTAAACGCATTTATAACTATATCCATAACAGATGATTTATTTTTTTCTAAGTTCATCTGTTTCTATTGACATCATTGTTAAGTCCGAGAACCAGTTTTGGCCTATGAATGTTCTAAGAGGATTTTTAATAATTTTTAACTTAGAAAAATTTTCAGTTGTTGCAATTGTGACAGGAAGGGTATAAAATAGTAGGCATGCTATCATAACATCCGGGAAACTGGAGATGAGGCTACTGAAATTAAGAACAAATAATTCTGCGTGCTTTTTGATAAAATGGATTTTCTCAATTTAGGACTTTAAACAGCTTTTTAAAGCATTTAATTGTTCATAGATACTGTGTGCTAAGTACTTATCATATTCAATAGCTAATTTTGCGGGCTTTTTTTTTATTTCTTAGTTTGGAAAGGATAAGCGTTTATCCGGTTGTAAGATTTCGAAAATATTGCTGGATCAAGGAAATTGAAATCTTTGTCGGGGGTTTGGTCTAAGCAGCAATACACATTGAAAAACGATTCTGGATCTGAAATGCTCTCGTCTTCTGAACTCATAAAAAAAGCGTTTTCTTCTTTTTCATTTCTGAAAGCATGGCATTACACTCATTCTTTTTCAT